TAACACGTGCGAAGTGTGAAAATCCGGTCTTTTAGAAGTGTTTGAAATTTCGCCCTAGTTACAATCAATCACGAAGCAATTAAAAGAGGAAGTAAGTTAAATAAAAACTATTAAAAAGCAATTGTTTACAATTATGTTCCGTTCAGGTTTTGTTTTTACTATATTTCAAAGTTTAAAGTCTATGACCACATTGTGAAAGTTAACTCGAATTTATTTAAATTAAAGATTTATTTTTAAAAATTAGGCGACATTTTTATAATGCTTCGTAGAGAAACCTAACGTAACACACCCCCATTATACTACATGTATATATTATTTATAATCATCTTTGATTGTGGTAGTATTATTGTTGCACTTTAATGTTGGCAACAAATCCTACGAAATACTGCAGTTGATAATCTCAAGTGCAAATATATTGCTTTTATCGAATAAAGTTTGTGTACAATACATACTTACAGGAGCATTTTAGTATAAGTATAAAAAAAAACAAATACTGTTACCTGATATTTGACAATAGTTCGCCGCTGAGGGTTGATGGTTATAACTGAAACAATGAAATAAATATTATAGTTAGCACAAATGCAGATGTAATAAAACTCGCTAATACAGTTGTGTTAACTCATAAGCTGTTTGGTCCGGCATTTCATAATTATAGAGCATGCTTAGTAGAGATATTAGAGCTTATGAATATTTGTTTGTAAACAGTGTTAAAATTTAGTTAACAAATTTCAGAATAAAAATCAAACGTCTGTGTTGTTTTGTACGCTGATTGCATAAAGTTTGTTTTTCCGTTTAAAAAACATATCGCATCCAGTTTAAAAAAAATAATATATTCAAATTACATTTGTTAATATTTAGCAGAAGTATTTTTATACTAAAGCTTTCTATTATTTGCATAACTACTACTCCAAAATAGTTAATGAGGATGGCCCTAAATTATAAAGCTCTAACAGGCTACATTATATTTGATTAGATTATAATGCTAGATATTTGATTAGTCGATACAAAAAAACATAACTCCAGGAATTAGAGCACACTTCTCTTTTCATTTGCCAGGAGAAACAACCCAATCAGTCTTACTTATTTGATGGGGTACATTAATTTATTTATGGTTATATAACTATATTCCATGATTTGATTATTAACAATAAAGTAGAAAATCTAACGATTACAATGCTAAAACTAGGACATAAAAGATGTAGGCTACCCCTTTTCCTTGTCAGGTTGCTTCAGCTGTGGTTGTAAACCTTCAACTGTTTTTTTAAATATGCACATTAGGATAACTGCGAATAAACAAAGACCCAACTTATGTAATATAATTTAAAAAACAAAACAAATTTATCTTTTAAAAGAAAAGCATGAGGATGAACATTATATGAATAATTGATTCTGTACGAATGATTAAAAATAATGATTATAGTGCTGGAACTTATATTTTTAAATATTTTTAAGCAGTTTAATAGATTGAATTTAGGCAGCTAAACAGAGGGGGAAGTTAATTTAATTTTGCAATTATTTTTAAAAAAGGTAGAAAGATTTTGCTTGATCAAATTTAATTGACACTGTGTAATAAAAAAACGTTTGTCTTTTAGGTCCAACTAGACCACCCGTTATCCTTGGATAACTGTGGGTTTCGGGGGTCATCTATAAAGGACATCACGTCTGTCACTTATAGTTATATAAAACCAGACCCCAAATTGAAAAAGACGCCACACCTCAGTCATTTTCTCTCTTTTAAAAACACGTATTTGGCTGAGTTTGAGTCTGACCACACTATCCCTTCATATGCTGAGGTCACAAAAACAGCTATACTTCATCTGCCCATTGTCCCCCCCCCCACCCCCCCCCCCCCCACCCCATTCAGACATGTTTTTGTCTTTAAAAACGGGTCTAAAAGAAATTCCCGAAAGATACTTGCCCAAAAGCCGTTTTCCCGCAGGGCGATTTCCCGAATGGACACTTGCCCGAATGGGACAAATGTCCGAATGGACACTTGCCCGAATGGGACACATATTTAAAAAGGAAACTTGTATTAAAGCGTAATGTACGATTTCACAAGCCAATATTGTAAAGAAATTTCGCGACTACTTCTTTGTACGATTCCTATAGTTCTCTCAACTTCACCATGAGAGATCATATGCTTTTACTAGATTGCATTATATATTGCCTGGATCATAGTATTAAAGAGAAATAAATAAAACAAATTCCTGTATCGCTATATCCGATAAGTAAAATGGCATATGGTCTGAGCGGGTGAGTGGAAGGCGATACTCTTTGCCGAAATTTAAAGAGCCAATAAAATTATTATATTGTATCGAATACATTATTTTTGATTGCTTGATTTATAACACGTACTAATACTACAGTTTTCAAATAGTTAAGGCCACTAGACCTACTAATAGAGATAGAACTGGTACAACAAGACGATCGCTATTGCTTTGTTACTTTTTTCAACCCAACTGATAATTTTATAATGTAATACAATATTATCGAATTTGTTCTAAAGACACAACCAAAAGTAGACCAAATAAGCTGGCACCTTCTAAAAACTACACTCTAAAGCAGTGGTTCTTACCCTGCTTGGAGGTACTAAATTCCACCAGTTACATATACGCATTAACCAAATCCTTCTTAATAGTTGTGTTGTGCACACTGGCAAAATCAGATCTCGAATAATATGAATCTTGTGTGTCTTGACCTCCGCCGAAGCCCTGAGACTGACTTACCTACAGGTTCACAGCTTTAAACTCTTTTGATTTTCTTCTTTTTGTTCGTGTTGGTCTCCTTACTGTCTTTCTGATATTGTGCCCTAACCACTATCTTTTCGTTGCTCTTATTTAATTCTGTCTGTAACAGTTCCGAGCCATATGTAAAAAGAAGACTTCACATTTAGCTATTGATCCTGATTGAATTCTTTTGACACTGCATTTGCATTCTACATTGGCTTATAATGTAAAAACGCATTATTTATCGCTGCTGATTCTAACCAGAACGTCATAGGCGGTGCAACTATAATTAAATTGGTTATTACTGCTTCTTCAGCAAGTACTGAGTGTTCTACATTTGTTCTTGAATATGTGCGAGAAGGCGGCGCACTAGTTCGAAATCAAAGACTTCGAGCTGTTTTTTTACGTTGGATTCAAATTTGTTTCCACTAAGTTGTTTTACTATTCAATGTATATATATATATATATATATATATATATATATATATATATATATATATATATATATATATATATATAAGGGGGGCGCCGAAATGAAAGCTCTCCCCGGGCGCCGGGAGATGTCGCTACACCTCTGTAAACTGTTTCACCCAACATATAATCCGTATATATATAATATACTATATTCGGTATAATTCCAAAGATATGATACAAAAACGCTGGCTTAAAGTAATGTATATCAAAGTGAGCTACACAATAATCTCAAATCTGTTGATCAAAAATAGGATGACTATATGAAAGTATGTGATTAATACAGTTATGTAATTGTATGATATAATATTATAAACTATATACATATTTAGTTTACAAATCTTTACATACCAATTACGAAAAAAAGTAGGGCCACAACTGCTCCGAAAATTATATAGAGATTGTTTTGATTTTGACCTGTTCAAAATAGTTAGCTTTGCAAGATAAATGAGAATACAATAATTGTAAAACTACTTTCACAAAATAGAACATGTTTTTAAATGGAAATATAAAACAGAATAGCGACAGAAATGTGTAACTATAAATTAGTTTAAATGAATGTAACTTTAGCTGCTGTTTTCATGTACGTATAGATTTCATGACAAGTATTAGATCCCGTTGTAAAATTATCTGATACATTAATTGTTAGACACCACTCATGTAGGTTTTTGCCATTGTGTGGTGAAAGGTAAGAGTAACCCTCACCTTTGAGAAACAGTTCTTTATCTCTATATTCATTAGAAGAGTTGGAAAGCTTGCCACTGAACAAAGCTAATTCATTGCTGGATTTATTTTCTTTAGCTGGAACGTGTTTTGAATAATAATGTATTAAACAGAGGCTGATGTATACCGTTTTCATATAAATCGATCAACTTTTTTATCGCTATGATCTAAAGATAGATTATAATATTGTTTAGTCAACAAAGAGAAAAGAACTCAAATATTATAATTGATCTATATTAGCATTAATATCACACTTACTTGTGGGACTGTAGTACAATATTGATAACCAACCAAACAAATTTTCTGCCTTGCAAACATAAACTAGTAGAAATTAAGAAATTCAAAAGCTTGAATGTATTTACTTAATGTATATTTATTTATGAAGATAATAAAAACTACTGATGAGCTAAATTTAGCTAAATGACTTGAACTTTAAATACTTAGCTGTGACCGTGTAATAAAATCACATGAACTTTTTTTCACATTGCAATTTTTTTTAAATATACAAATTTTTATTGACATTTTATGTGATAAATTGTTAACATTATATTTACTTATTATTTACTTATATATTTACATTATTTATTTTTAATAAGTTGTGTTTAGTTACTGAATATACTAACAAACTAAATACTTCCAATCTTAAGTAAAATCCTTAAGTAATCAAAATGTCAGGTTTTTATAAAGAATTGTTTTTTTAATAAACTCGTACATTATTTTTTTTAAATATTGTTTTCAAAATTTCGAGACTATTCAAGGCTGCCTCCATTATTAAAATATTACCTGTTTTATATTCCACTGTGATTTTAGACAAAACATTAGTAGTTTGTGAACCATACCAATAGACCTCTGTTGGGATATCACTTTGATCATTTCTTTCACATGTACAGTTGAAAATACTTCCCACTTCAACTATATCTGGACACGCTACCATTTTAATACTTGGGAATTCTGTGTAAACATGATTTTTTTCATAGTTATTGTTTAGGGATGATACAAACGTATATATTATGGAAAGAGTTTCAAATATTTTTAATTACACATATTTATTAAATCAATCAAATTAATTTTTAAAATAACCTATGTTGATTGTGTCTTTAGCTGTCTTTTCTAATTCTTTTATTGAAAATGTTGCACTGGTAGTAGTGATATTTGGAAACATTGTCACTTGGTATTTCAGCACACCAGGCATTAACAGATGTTGTGGTACTGACAATGAACATTCAGTTGTGTAGTAGATGGGATCAGTATTTGTAATGGAATGATTATAATGAACAGCCATCTGGTTTAAAATTGTCTGAAAGAAATCATTATAAAAATTATTTGACTAGATTGTGCGATTTTTAGGGAAAAAATACAGTTTCATAAACTCGATTAATTTTTATGCAGTAATGGATTAGATAGGAGAGATCAATATCTAGTCCAGTGAAAGTATGTATTGTGTGTATTAAACCAACTCACCTGAACAAAGCGAACATTAAAGCTGCATACGCTTGTGGGGTACACGAAAGGGCTGAAACATTTCACTTCTAAACCTTTATGCGAGGCCTCGTAATTACAGCTAGGTAGAGGTACACTCCCTAAAAATATTTAAGAAGGTAATTCGCTATCTATTGACATTCTTAATAGATTGTCTTTTTTATACTTTCTTTTAAACTGATGCGTATGAAACAAGACATTTCTTTAAGGCTAATCATTAAATGGTAAGATAACTTTCAAAACGATAACCGGCGACCCGCTTTTTGATGACAACGGTCTGTCATCTAAAAATTCCCATTTGTTAGCCCAGATGTTCTACCAGTCAGGCAAATCCACACACACACGCGTCCACACACCCACACAATGCCAGCTCTGCACGCCCACTCCCCTTCCATAAACCCCTCTTATCCGATGTTTTTTTTTAAATATACATCTTGCTCCATAGCGCTGTGAGGAGGGGGGATTTTTTTTTTTTCATAGACATTTCTAATAGAAATTATAGTTTAGGATGTGGAAATGAAACTAATCATTCATTTTGTTTCAAGGAAAATATAGCTTTAATAGAATGGAGGTGTGGATACTAGTTTTATTCGAAATAAAAAAGTAAAATTACTACAGTTATGAAATGCAGGTGTAATGACCACTCTCCGACAGCCGCGGAGGGAGCGGACACCCCGGGTTCGTTTGGGATGGCACAGACAGAAGTCACTACTAATGAAATCACAACAACTTGCCGTGAGCTCGTTATTGATGTCTAGGGGTAAAACACGACAAATCGAAGAGACTCAACACGACTTAAAACTGTCAATACCCTATTAATAAGTGTACAAGTCTACGACACTGGGATTGTACAAAATGTACAGACTTTAAGAGTACAATAAATAAACTCAAAACTTCAACTTACAGTTAAAGAAACTCACAATATATCACAGCTGTGGCTTAGTATATTATACACCATTAAAGAACATTACTTGACACAACTGGATGGCATTATAAATACCACAAATATCAAGAAGAGACATATTGCCTCTACTACAATAGAAATCCAAATAAACGTCAAACTATCACCGATGTAACAAAGGGTGCAATTATACACCAGAACAAAATATCAGTAATACTACAACTTGTCACACAATACCTTATACAAAGGTGATAAAACACGCCACAAAACTACACTACTGAAAATGGCGCCCAAACATACGGCAACATCTCTCTCCTATCCAAGGGTCAATCTGGCTGCCTTTAGACATGAAATGTACCAGATTTAATACAGCTCAGTATTAGGGGAAATCACTCAAAAGTCCTACGACTATTGGTTGAGGATCTGTTAAGGATCCTCATGGTCGCAAGATCATTGGTCGAGGGTCTGTTAGGGATGAACACAATCCCATCACATGACGTGACGGAGTTCAGTTGACCGATGTGAACCGGTGAACTAACAATTCTCCCAAGGTCAAACACATAACTCAGGAGACTATAAATAAAGCAAAAAAGACCTAAGTAGGTCACACAGGCCACTTAAGTAGCCAATCAGCTTTAAGAAATGTGTTTTTTTTTCGACCTATTTTCTTTGTTGAATACATGTTCTCTTCACTTGTCAATACAACTTGACCGTTAGAAGAATAAATATTTAAATTTAAAAACAGTCTTCATGTTCTTGCAACGTTCAATACAAATAAACGAAGAAATGGGTACTTCAGCGCTGGAAGAGGCCGAAAAGATCGGAAAGAATTCTGAGCAGCTAAACAGAATGCCAGGAGACCGTGTAGATTAGAGAGCCTATGCTCCGCAAGAACTAAGAGTTAACATGATGAATCAAACAAGCAAATCTTGTTTAGTATGTTTCAACGGTAGTTTTTAAAAATATTATTTAAATTATTGAAATAAACAATATAAATATTGATTTTCCAAAGGCAAAAGGAAGCATCTAGTCATTTTGCACTTACTGTATATTTTAACATCACACGTATACAATTGCTTTAAGCTTTGATGGTCATCTAAAACTTTGAGTTCCCATTTTGTCTCTGATGTTAGCTTTTTGAGTCTATTAGCTGTAAACGTAACAGAGGTATTTACTACATCATCTGGTTTCTTTTCAATTGTTGACGACAGCAAGCCACGAGCTTCTGGGTTTAATAAACACTCCAGTCCATTTTGTGAGTAGCATACAGCGGCTGTTACTCCTTCACTTATCCAAATAAATTGATTCACTGAACTAGACACGTTTCTGCTTATAAAAGATATTGTACGCGGATTGTTTTCTTTACACGGTTCACATGTCTGCCCTGTTTAAAAACACGCAAAAAAAAAAAAACAACTAGACTAGTGTGTTAAACCACTTATAAAAAACAAACAATAAAAAATAAGTTACAAATATGTTTAACTTACCATTGATAACAACAACAAAAAGAGCTATATACACGACGTGTAGGATGGTGTTCATCATCGGTTGAATGTTAACTATTCAGTGGTAGCTGCTAAATGTCATTAAACATCACACAGATGTCAATAACTGCATTACATACATTTATTTCAAATTAGCTGAAACATTATGGATTAAGATATTATTTATGTAAATTAAAGAGCCCAGTGCTTAAAGTACTCAAGTCATATTTTCCGGAAAAAAATAAAGCTAAATAATTGTTATAACTCTTCTAGTTTGGCGTTATATGATGCACAAACATTGATGCTGAAGTATGTATTCAAATCCTTCTTTGAAGCAATAAAGCAAAAAACAACAGTTATGTTTGATAGGCAATTTGAGTTTGTAAAATCGTTTCTCAATATGTTTATTTTGTAACTTCAACTACCTGTAGCAATAAAGACTAGAATTATTACATACCAATTCAGTTACAAGAAAATGAGTTGGTCAAACACAAATTATTTCATTAGTATAAGCCAATATGTCATTTTGTTATAGCGGGAGTTTAGTCCAACACAAAGATAAAATGTAAAAAAGTATTAGTAATGATTGTTACAAAATGTGATGTTAATGTGTGTTTTTCTGATTTTTACAAAAAAAAACGTTTGGATCATTAAAAGTATTCAAACATAGTTTAATTAAATTCGACTTGGTTCATGCATTGTGCAAACTGTCTAAAAAACCTTGATTCGGAAAAAAATAAAATGCAATACCAACACCAACTAGCTTTTCTTTCAGACTTGTGGGGGGGGGGGGGGCTTGAAACTTGTGGAAGGGGGGGGGGGGATGGACTAAATTTATTGACAAAAACAAATTAACAGCTTGATGTCAACAAAACGAATCTATGCAATGTTGATTTAAATGTCTTTCAGATATCGCGAGCTACTGATGGCTTTTAAAGCAAATATTTTTAGTCGCGTGTACTTCATAAATTAGGAATCACTAAAAAGTAGAACATAAAACAATTATTAAAATCCTTTATAGCAACAAGCTTTTAAATGTACTAAAAATAAAATTTATCTGCTTTCTTTCATAAGTTTCGGTCGTTCATAAGATATTTGACATATTTTAGCTACACAAGCTTTATGAAAGAAAAACAAATTAGTTTTATTTCCAGTGCATTTAGAAGGTTGTTGCTTTTGCAATAAAGGTTTTATTATATTTGTTTTATTGTGTTATAATACTGAACTCAAAGCGGAAGGAAATATATTGCTTGGCCTTTTAGTTGAAATCACTTGGCACGAACACTATTAATGTTCATTGTTGTGACTATTACAACGATCATACTTAATTGTTACTAGATTTCTACTCTAAAGTTCATAAACTTATTGTTTAATTTTGAGATGTTTTTTGTTCCTTTCTAACGGAAGTTAAGTAATTTTTAAAACCTTGAATTTTTGTTATAGTATTTTTTGTTTGTTTTGACGCTTTGACTAATTGGATAATTTCAATTACGAATCTTACAAAAATGCTCACTAAGGTTTTTCGGGACATAATTATACTCTGCTTTTTCGATTCGTGCATTATAATAAGTAAGTCTTTAAGTAAGTTTGATAATAATAACACCTTAAACATTTCCACGGATATATTATTAATTCAATACATCAACTTACAAAAGTAAAAACACAAATATTTAGTTTAATCATTAACTCTCTTTTAGTGACAACAACTTTTCTATATAGGTCATTAAAACTTGTTTCATTTTTAAATATTTGCATTAGCATATCAAATTATCATCTATATTAATTAACACGGTAATGCAAATTAGTTTGTGTTAAAACGTATTTCGTATTTTGAGAGAGATAAGGTGAGTGGCCATTTATGAGGTCTTGGGGGTATCAGCCATGTTTTGCTGGTCAATGTTACAGCAAATTAAGGGTGTGGTATTTGGTGGGGTAGTAGGTCAGTTGTATACATTTATTGTAATAATAAACATATATATTTTTAAATAATTTCTAAATGTAGGCCTACTACTTATATACCATATAATATAAACGGGTGAATTTGTTTGTGACCACAACACATAATAAACTGTGTTCATTATTGTTTCAGCTGGAGGGTTTAATCACTTTTCAATAGAAAACACCATACCCTGCACGAACGATTCTGTTAATTACATTTTGACTGTTTGCTTAAACATCAGTGACATATCCAAAAATGTTACTGTTATATTTGGTATTTATTTATGTATATATATATATATATATATATATATATATATATATATATATATATATATATATATATATATATATATATATATATATATATATATGAACACTACACTGATACATGTGAGTAATATTCATAGTAGGAATATGGTTTAATCATCACACAACTAACTAAATTATTGTTTAATGATTATGTTTACATTGTAAAAAACAATAAGATAGTTTATATAACGTATTGGAAGACTATCTGAAAGTATTTTTACAAACTTGTTACACACTGAGTTCGAAATTTATGGAAATATCAAACAATGAATAACTAAAGAAAATAGAAACAAGAATAAGATTAAAGTATATATTCAGTTTGGAACAAATACATTTGTATATTTTTTTGTATATATATATATATATATATATATATATATATATATATATATATATATATATATATATATATATATATATATATATGAACACTACACTGATACATGTGAGTAATATTCATAGTAGGAATATGGTTTAATCATCACACAACTAACTAAATTATTGTTTAATGATTATGTTTACATTGTAAAAAACAATAAGATAGTTTATATAACGTTCGAAATTTATGGAAATATCAAACAATGAATAACTAAAGAAAATAGAAACAAGAATAAGATTAAAGTATATATTCAGTTTGGAACAAATACATTTGTATATTTTTTTTAGAATTGCTGACTTCGAATACAAAACAATCGCTGCTTAGAAAATGTATATACTTGTACCTGCAAAGGTGGGAAAAAACGAGTCCTCAATGTTGAAATATTGTTTGCCCCTGTCAATGAATATACATACTTACAAATGCGTTTTCAAAATATTGAAAACATCAATACAACTTTAAAAGTTTGTGGTCAGTCTACAAAATGTATGTATAATGTAACAGTTAATTTATTTGAATAGTCCAGTTGTTATATTATTCAGTTTTTATTTTTAATCTTTCTCGAATGAAAAGTGATGCTTTGTAGCTTACTAATTTCGTATTAATTTTTTTTTACAGATTCAAATATTGAAAATACAGGTATTTTTTAAATTTCTTTTTTAAATTGTGTTTACTCGTGTTTTTAAACTTTAATTACTTCTATCAAACTAGCATTTTGCGTACACAATAAAAATCGCAGGGTAAGGATCATAGCAATATGCCATTTATATCGAAGCTTAATGCATTTTTAACAATAATGTATACATATTTGTTTACTTTAATGATCAATGAAACGTTACTACTATATAGTTAAACATGTATTATATAAAATCGTGTTTACAATACAATAGCTTGCAATTTTTTTAGATAAACTCAAACGTTTAAGTAAGTGTCTTTATGAATTGATTATAATTTCAATCGAAAGATGGCAGTGTGTGTACAATGTAATATCGAGTAGAAAAGTATATTTTCGAAATAATTTTTTTTTTTTTACAGAACACTTCCCCAGAGTGTTTTAATGAACTCACCAAAGTTTAATAGAGATCGGATGAATGGTGTCAAACTAAAATCGACTTTTATTTTTATATATCGTATATAGAGAAAAAAATCACCCCTGCGAATTTGAAAATTTTTGTCGCAGAAACCTCCCCAGGAATATTCTCAACAACTTGCCGAAGTTTCACGGCGAAGTGATAAGAGGTGTGCTAATGCATAAAAGACACTCAGACACACACATACATTGCTTTATATATATATATATATATATATATATATATATATATACATATATATATATATATATATATATATATATATATATATATATATATATATATATATATATATATATATATATATATATATATATATATATACTTTTCATTGGGTGATATTGAAGCAGATTGTAGTTTGGTGTTAAATAAAATTCTTTGCAAGCAGAACGACTGTTTCAGATTAAACATTTCGTTAATTAATTTGTGATTTTTAGAGATGTGGATTTCAATAATTTTAAAATTTAAATGCAAATTAAAACTAATCATAAGATAAACATATATATATATATATATATATATATATATATATATATATATATATATATATATATATATATATATATATATATATAAAACAAAGTGTGTTCAATATCAATTCACATTAAAATACATGCAAGTAGACTATTCGTGTGCGTGGACGTAAACATACGCTACAATTAAGGAGTCGTTAAACGGCTGGTTAGTAATAATAATTTTTACATGCAAAATATAAGAGTGAACCATCGCTACAAAATACAGAACAGAAAGTTCAAAATATCAGATATGAATACATTTTTATAATAATAAAAACCCACTTGACCCCTCATATTATTCAATCGTTGTTTTAGGGAAACTTGTGGTCTTTCGAGTAACACAAACAGCATTACCTTGTTAATTTATGTTTTCTATAGTAAAGTGCTACAATTACAAAATGATAAAAGACAGAAATATTTGAAGTATTGTACATTTGTATAAAAGTTAAAATGACTAATTGATTTGATTTACGTTGGGCAAGTTAATTAAATTAGATTAAGTTAGATTTAATAGCAAAACAAAATGAAATCTAAAACCATTGTCTGAATTAAGTAAACGACAGAAATATTTAAAGTATTGTACATACTGTTTTTTTTTTAATTTTGGCAATTATAATTCTAGGTTCTACTTACATACATGTTAGGATAATGTTGCTTGGTACCTTAAAGCTAAAGAAATTCAAAATGGCGTCTAAATTATAGAATTTTGGATTTTGCCGTTATTTCCTGTAAATAAGGCGGGAAACCCAAGATTGAGTATTTCGGTTATAAATATTTCTACTGATTGTGTTTATATACCATTTGAGGTTCAATCAAAAATTAAATC